CCTAGGCAGATGCTTTAGACCACTAAGCTATTTTCTCTGGCCCCATGGAAATTAAGATTTAAAATAAAACCACAGGGGCCAGGGAGATAGCTCAGTAGAATAAGCGCTTACCTGGCAAGCGCAAGGCCCTGGGTTCAATTCCCAGTTCTGCCAAAAATAAAAAATAAAAAGTAAAACCACAGATCACAAGACAGAGGATCTAAAATAGAACTCTACATACGTGGAAACCTATTATAAGATATTGTTAGCACTGCAAATGAGAGTGACAATGGAGTTCAAATGTAATGCGGATCTAGTGGAAGATGAAATTTTAAAACTTTTAATTAATTAATTAATTTATTTATTTGTACAGCACTGGGGATTGAACTCAGAACCTTGCACTTGCCAACCAGGTGCTTATACCATTAAGCTATATCCCGACCCCTGAAATTTTAAAACTTTTAGGAGAAAATAATGGAGAATAGTTTTACATCTTTGGAGTCAAGACAGATTGCTCAAAATGCATGGAATAGAATAGAAGATGTAACCAAAAAACAAAAGAGGAAATAATAATGGTTACCAAACGATAAAGAATCACCACCACACTGGCAATCAGGGAAATAAAAATTGTAGCTATTACGAGAAATTATTTCACACTCAAAGAGAACATGCTGGTGAAGATGTGAGGCAAGGGAACTACAGATGGTGATAAAAATTGGGACAGTGTTTCACAAGCAAGTTGCCATTACCTAATAAATTTGTCACACCATACCTAACAACCCCTCTTCGAGATACATATTTTCTTTTTTGTGTGTGGTACCGGGGACTGAACTCAGGACCCTGCACTTGCCAGGCAAGTGCTTATTCTACTGAGCTATCTTCCCAGCCCCTAGATACATATCAAAAACAAACAAACAAACAAACAAACAAACACATTTTTGCCCTGCTTGCTGTGGTGGTACGTGCCTGTAATACCAGTACTCTAGGATGTCAAAGCAGAAGGATCACATTTCCAAGGCCAGCTTGGGCAACTGCATGACTTCACAAGATTCTGTTTTTTTTTTTTTAAAAAGCTTTGGAAATGTAGTTCAGGGCAAACACCCTGGGTTTAATCCTCAGTACTGGGATAAGATTGGCAAACTTGAAAATCATTCATAGCAGCACTTTTTGCAACAGC